ATATAATCTGAACCGTAATCAAGCACCGTGTCGTTCGTAAAGCTTATTTGTGAATTAGATTTATGTCGTCCACGGCGCTTCGTATAATCGACAAAATGATTAATTACGAGAGCGCACACGGTGATTAGTTAACGGTAAGGCTAGTAGAAAGAGTCTCTCGTGGGTCTTTTCGGCTCTCGCCGGAGTCGCGCGAGCCGTCGCTACGAGCGAGCGAGGCGCGGCGCGGCGCGGCGAGGCGAGGCGAGGCGAGGCGAGGCGATACCACGCGGAGAGAGGCCGTTGGCCCCACGGTCGACCGTGCAATGGTGCAGTGTGCAACTTCTCTGTCGCGGAGGGAAGGGGGAGGAGGGGGAGGGAGCGAACGCACGCACGTATGCACGCATGTACGTACGTGAGAGTGCTCACGCGAGCTCTACGCGAACGTGTATCGTCCGCCAAGTCATCCGCGTGCGGGGGCACGAGAACGTACGAGAGCCTTGAAGTGCGGATTGCGTGTGGGTCGCTCGCGCAGCGACGAGAGAGAGAGAGAGAGAGAGAGAGAGATGTGTGCATCAATTCGTGTCCGAAGAGTATTTACAAAACCGGAGTTTAAGTTGTCATGACGTTCGAGCGCAGTCCATAAATGCAGTAAACCGACGTAAATGGATGTGCGCGAATTAAGGAGGAAATATCGGAAATTCGATTGAACTCGCCGCGTCTACAAACGCTTTCGCGTCGGTATTTTTCGACGGCAGAATAAAAAGAGAAATCCGAAATAAGATGTGCGTCGATGGCGCGCCGTTTCTCTGAAAGATTTCTCATTTTTTTATAAATACTTGCGGAAAAGTACGATTTTTTTTAAATGATTTCTTCGTTATAATTTAAAAAAGCTCCTTGAGAATTCTTTTACTTACACAAAGATTCAATTAGGTGTTCTCTTAAAAATCGAAAAGCTCCAATTTGGCGATTTTAGATTAATCCGCAAATTATCAGCCATATCGATTGAATACATAATACTATGTACAAAATATTACGCGATACCACTAATGTATGTTACATTACTAAATGTATATCGCAATATAACGTGTGATGATTGATGAACAGATATCAACTTGCGCTATGAATTGTAACTAGATATATCGAGAGGAAAGGCTTGAATTAACAAACGTGGGCACAAAGCACATGTACATATGTAGTCGCGAAACAGTGATTATAACATCGCCCACTCCCAAATCAAATGCACATTTTCCTACAAACAATAAACAGCACTGGACTGCGACGAGGAGAGGTCCGCGTCGAATGCTCTCGGAATAATCCGTTTCCCGATGGCGAGCCGCATTCCGAATTCACGAAATATACAGGGAGACAAAATGAACGAGAGGAGAGATGGGGAGCGCGGTCGCTCATCCCTCGGTCAAAGAACCATCGTCGGCCGTAGATACCGAATGTCGGTCGGATTCAAGAAGACGAGACGGATCTCGCGCGCGTTCCCGGGGAACCAAATATATACGCGAGAGAAACGCAAAGCCGATGTGTTCCGGCCGATGTCAATCTCCTACAAGTCAGTCAATCGGGAGAGACCAGCTCGCGCGAAGCCGAGCGTGTTTTCTATTTATTTCCCTTGTCTGGCGACACGACCTACCTCACCGAGAAATGCCGCCGGGGGTTCAAGTACTGAGGCCAGATGGGAATCCGCGTCCCGATATCGCTTATTGCTCGTTAGAGCCGCTCGACGACGTCGCGCGGCTTTCTTCTTCTTCTGGACACGGAAAAGAAAATCTCGCCGCGGCGACGCGATTTTTCCCATTCCTTAACGGCGACACACGGATACTTACTGCTTGCCACACTTACAAGCCATATATGAATTCTCGCTGCGAGCGAAGTACTCGTGTCGAGGAACTTATCTGCCCTCTAGTCAATAATGAAACGAAACGTTATCTAGTAAACAACTTTATCCACGTTAACCTTCATTCAGAACTTTTCTTCGCGACCCAAAGACGTATACGATAGTCTATAATGAATGCGTGGCTTTCTATTCAGTGATCCACGAGTGGACATAAGTTCTATCTTTCCCGACGTTCGGAGAGTAACATCACTTGTGTCACCAAATATGATAAGCACCCAATGCGAACGAGCGAGCGGAGATTACTTGAGAGAACAAGTTACTTGTGGACAATTCGAGATAATAGAGATATCGCATAACGTCAGTCAGAGAGAGAGAGAGAGAGAGAGAGAGAGAGAGAGAGAGAGAGAGAGAGAGAGAGGGGGGCGAAGAAAAGCCGCGTGCTCTGTTCGTTATTGTCGTTGCCTCCAACGTCACGCTGTCATATCGAACCTCGTGTATGAAATGAAATCATGCACCGTTCATCCCGCCGCGCGTAATTTGCCGAAGATGAGACGATAATCAACCCCGCGCGGCTATTGTACTCGGCGAATTAATGCATCGGTCATGAACGGGGGAGACATCTTGGCGAGTCCGGACCGATACAGTAATGATGCACCGTAATCGATAACCGAGAGATCGGCCGAGGAAGCGTGTCGAATCCGAACTTCACGCCTCTCTCGATCGCGCTAACGTCCGCGATTTTTTTCCAGGGTTATTTATCACGGCGGGGAGAGAGAGAGAGAGAGAGAGAGAGAGAGAGAGAGAGAAGCCAGAAGTCTGGCTTCTTCCCACGGATGAAGAACCATGTCTGCTCGCGCGAAAAACTCGTCTGGCGTCCGCCCCCGCCTCCGCGCCCTACATCTCTCGCTCTTCTCGCTGTCCTGCCCTTCTCACGCGGTTTCGGTTCTATTGGCGAAATTTATTCGCCGATGGCCAGGCCCTGCGCAAGATGTCACATATGTTGAGACACCATGTTCAGACACCATCTTCGTCACTCTTCATGCGCGACATGCAGCGAGCTCTGGAACGTGTCGAGAGTGGAGGGTGTTTGTCTTAATTCCTAAATAAGGACACTCTCGTCGCAAAGATGATATTGTTATCTTTCTCAAGAATTCGCTAATTGACTAACGTTGTTACTTACGGTTGTTTGTACGTCCATAAGTAGGAAGGAGTCACGTTTTGTACACGTTTGTAGGTATATGGGATGTGCCACGCGTAAGAAGTGTGTAGATTCGTAAGAAACGTATAGTAACACTTTTCCGTGTGTTACATCTACGTGTTTCTCGCAAATCTACACACTTGCCTTTTGTGTGTTGCACATTTACATTTATGGTAGTAACGAGCAACGTTAGTCAATTAGCGAATCCTTGATAAAGGAGAAACTTCAAGAATTAAGATACCCTTCAGTATGTTTTTACACTTTTGGTCTTCACAGTCGCTTGCCTTTCTTCACTCCTCTGGCTCACAGTTTTCCACAGTTTAGTATAAGAAAAATTCGGTTCAGTATGTTGTATTGACGTCGCGCGACAGCACAAATATATACTATACGTCACACAAAGATACATCAAGCCCCGATTGAACACACAAACAGTAAAAATGATTTTTCATCCGTAAAGAGACGAATGCTTTGAGAATCTTTGTAATCCCTCATTGGGATGCAGAAGACAGTGACGACTGGTATTTGTTGATCGCGACTGGAGGGGTTTGCCACCGAATTTTGTTCGCCAGAGGTAGAAACGCGAGAAAACCGCGCATCCGGTATCCGAGACTAGATAATCTCCGATCCGAGAGGGCGTATCATCGGTCTGTCGCCCACGAAAAATCCACGAAACGTGCAATCGCATAATACAGAAAATCTTGAATAGGCGGCGACGACCTCCGACCACACTGTCTGTGTGTGCCAGCAAGAATGTAACGTTGAATGTCTCGCTGCGTTCGACGCTCGAGAGGTTTATAGTGGCATTATTAGTACGACGACACTCGGCGTGCGACGCTCTGGCACGACGCTTCATAAATATAAATTCGAATGCATAATCGATGAAAGCGAGCGTCTTATACCGAGCGATGGCAGCTGCATGACAAATGGACGCGTCGGAGTCGTCATCATCATCATCATCATCATCATCGTATCGTCGTTGACATCGATCGGGAGAGGAATACGCGATGTTTTAAAGGAAAAAAATTCCATTACAACGAAAGTCGTAGCTGTTCAATTTACATGACATTTCGAATTACGAGTATAAGATCCGCCGAGCGTAGTATTTGAATAATTTTACTTCTCGAACGTATCGTGAAAAATTGATGGATTTTGGAGACTATTTTTGGATGGACTTTGTGCCCTTTAATGAAAAATCGGGATCGTTCTGTAAAATCGATAATAATTCCACTAAAATAACTATTTTCTTCCGATTTGTCTCGGCAATATTCATCGTCACGTTCATTTCCTCCCCCCCACCGGTTGGAAACAACGATAATCCGCGAGCAACGAAATATAATGTTAAATTGAATTTTCCATTTGAATGAAATAATATAGTATATCGAGTGACGGCAAAAAGGTATTGTCATTAATTCAAAACGATTCGGCCAAGGCCATACTCGTGCAATGACTGCTCACAATGCGTATCGCTGCACGTAGCACTGCATAATATAATATCGCGGTTCAAGTTTAGCTACCGCATCCTTCTCTCCACGCATACACAGACGATCGTTCGCCGTTTATCGCACGTCCCACTTCCCGTCAGGAATTCATTTATCTGCAAATTATTTTAGTCCGGCATTACGCCCACGTCCTCGGCAAAGTTATTTAAACTATATAAGCGGCATAGCGAGTAGTCTAATTAACCGTCCGATGAAAATATACAGTTTATCGAAAATATGTAATTATATGTAATTATTAAAAACTCGGGAATTCTGCTATGTGCGCGCGCGCGCTGTGTTTCTCAAATAAATCTAAAAAATAAAACGAAGAGCTTCTCTCTATCAAATTGTCCAAATTATTTACAAAATTATTTACAAATAATTTTCAAGCATCAACATCATGCCGCATAGACTTTCACGTACAGTCTCGCAATCTGAATACTATTAGCGAGAAATGATAGTGCTGCCATAAAGATAAAAGATCGTTTTAATAGCTCTTTCACTTTTCTCATTTTTCATCTTTGTAATATTGAGAACATTATACGTCGTCGACAAACGACAGCTTCAAAATGCGTCAATGTCGATACATCAAACTGTATGATCAGATATATAAACGCGACGAATCCCTCTCCGTCTTCTCTCTATTCGCCTTCCATGGAATGCCTTTCCTGCCTGTTGGACGGGTGGTTGTTTCATGGGAAATTCTTTGCTTCACTGCGTACTGGAAGGCTCTTCGTTCTGCTCAAGCACGTGAGTTCCATATGCCCGTTCAATTTCTGCAAATGTCTTGCCTTTAGTCTCCACCATGCAGAAGACTACGAATAATATGGCCAAAGCACACAATAGGGCGAAGAAGGCGAACACCACGGGATAATCTAGTACTTCGGCGGCGCTTGGAAAGGATATCGTAACCGTAAACGCCAGTAGCCAATTGAAGAAAGCCGCGCTGGACGACGCTGCACCCTTCAAGCGCGTAGGAAAAATCTCGCCCATGTAAGCCCATGGAATTGGACCTGAGAAAAATTCAACGCTTGAGAATTTTTCCGAATAACCGCAACATTTACCGTATCAGTCATGAAAAACCGCGAGAGCACAATTATGCGATGTGCCTACCTTAATCGTAAAGAGCAAACCTAATATAGACTTACGGTAAGTCAAGTAAGAGCGGTGGTCGGCCTTACTCAAAGCTAACGAAAGATATCGCCCTAAATCTATCACGAATCCATAGAGGGCACACCTTTGTCCTTGATGCACCATCAAGGAAGATTCAGTTGTCATTGAACTTTCTTAAGAGAATCACATTAAGTGTAATGAGTACATCAAATAAGCATCACGCATGAAGCGTGTTCCTCACATTGTGTTTCTCTGCACTCGCCCGAAAGTGTCCAAAAATGTCACAATTTGCGGCTGCTAAATATATGAAAAAGTCGAAATCATTCGTACAGAAGTGAGTGCAGCGATATAATGTGGCAAAAAATGCCAATGATTTACCGGAACGTGGCTCGATATGCAAAGTGGACGAAAAAAAAGACGATAAAAAAAAATAGTGAATCTGTTTTCGCGGAATCCTGGCTTAACACTGCGTGTCAAGGACAAGCAAAATTGAAGCAGAAAGGTTTAGATATATCGTATGAAACTATTCGAACCTAGGCTCTCAAGGCTAATAATACATAAACTCGACCACGTTCTTACTTGACTTACTGTATTTCAAGATTTTGATCATAGAATATTAGTTGTATAATGTATAAGAGAAAATTTGAAGCTCTAAAAAAAGAGTCGTAAGAGCAAATATGTGACGTAACAACTCTTAGTTTCTTCTTCGTAAGAAGAATCTAAGGTATTTTCTAATAGCTCGCGATCAATAGCAGTGCATTGTCGAGTTCAAGCGCACTCGTCGTTATTACTGACCAGCTCCAAGGCAGAATGCGAGTATGTAGATGCACACCGATGTGAGTGGAAGCCAGTACAAATCAGCCGCTAAATGTGGCTGATAGTTTGTCAGAACGAAGAAACCCGCCAAGGCCGCCAAGCAGGCACACATCGTCGCCAAGGAGATCACCATGAGTACCTTGCGTCCCAGCTGCGAATGTTTCGATCGCATCCGTAATGCTGGCCGACCGTTAGATAAATTATAGATCGCGAAATCTGTGGACCATGGTCGACATCACACGGACATAAATCTATTAAAATATAACCTTGTCGACCAAGACCGCCGCTGCCACGCAAGCTGTCAACTGGACGACGGCGAAAATGACGATTTGCCACTGCGACTCCATGCCGACGCCTGTCGCTTCGAAGATCGTGGAACCGTAGAATATTATGGCGTTAATGCCGCTAAATTGCTGGGCAACCATTAGACCGTAGGCCACGCCCAGAGTCTTCAACACGGGCTCTCTCATGAAGGTCGAGAGGGCTACTCTTTGAAATTTGCTTCTCTCCACCTGTTCCTATTTTCTCCCATTTACAGATACATACATTAATAAGATCCACGCGCAAATTATTCATCAAGTATTTTTATCGATTCTATTACGAAATTCTTTGAACAAAATTAGAAACGTTTTATAAAAAAAGAAACATTAAAAATTCTAATTCTTGGAATTTTAGAAAAAGATGAATAAGTTAAATTGCATTTTGATAAGATTAAATTATTAATTAGTAGAAATGAACACACAAGTGAAGTTAAGTCTAAATCACAAGTTTAATGAAATAATAAAAAAAATCAGGCCTTCAAGGAATGTGTGAATTGATAAATTTCTAACAACGTGGGAAATGCGCGATGTTTAACCACCAACCTTAAACGCGGTTATCTCCGGCTCGATATCAAAATCAGGTCCGCGAAAGAACCGCATAGACTTTCGCGCGTCTTCCTCCTTATTTATCGTCAAATAGAACAACGGGCTCTCCGGCATGAAGGACAACGCCACGCCGAACACGATCGGTGCGATGCAACAGAGGCTGGATATCGCGATGACGTTTTCTGTGAAACCGGTGATGTACACGTACAGTATACCGAGCACGATCAGCAACTGGAAGAAGGTACCCGTCGTCCCTGTTACGAGAAAGGAAGAATCGCATAATGAAGCTGCTACTCTTCTTCTTTGCCTCTCATCGCTCGGCTAAGCGACGGTAAATCGCACGCGCATTAGCGATGCAAGGAGAACGAGAGCTCGTGAGCTGAACGATGATAGGCACTAATAACATCGCTCCGCAAGCCGTCTTCTGTTCTTATTCTGTTATCCACGTATTATTACCACGTGTCATTATTACGCATTGAATTATACGCATTTCAAATTGTTTCCATCTCTCGCGACAATGGTATCCGGTTTCAGATTCTTTATTTAATATCACATGTACTTTTGTTGTATAATACCACATAATGTACTTTTATTAAATACCATTTAAATATTTTTCAAGTAGATAATACGACGTGATAATGGCTGCATTTAGCAGAAAAAGCAGCTTTGCAATTATTGTAAAATTCTTTAATACAATCGTCTTGCCCTTAGTTCTTCATTGAATCTAAATGTATAACACACAACCATATCACAACAAAATTGTATGTTACAGGAACAAAAATATTTGGTTGAATTAGAACTGGAAAAGGTTTCTGGTTATAGAAAATTAATGATCCAGAATTCTGGTTAAGTCTACTAAACGTTGAGTTATCTCAACTAGAATTTTCATAGATTTAATCAGAAATCTTGTAGATTTAACTGAAATTCTAGATTGCTCATTTTCCACCAGGGCTCTACGTAATTCAATCATTTTTTTTTTTCTGTGTAGCGATTTCCTTTTCACATACACTGTGAGCTGTGAATAAATCCAGAGAGACTCGAGCCTATAAGACGCAAGTTATCCACAAGAGTCAGAGAACGATTAATTGCAAAAAAAGCATATACGATATACCTCTGATATGTTTCTCGGAGATCTCTGCGGTGTACATAGGCACAAGGACGCAGCACATGCCGCCACAAGCGCCAGTCATGATTCTGCCGATCACGAAGAGCGGCACCAGCCTACCCGCGGAAATGATTAGGATCCAGCCGACGATGATGATCGGCACCAGGACCATCATTGTCCACTTCCGGCCGATCCTGTCGACTAGCAGGGGCACGGCGACGGTGCCTAACGCCGCGCCTGCCGGGAACACCGACGCGATCACACTTACCGCGAAGTCGTCCAAGTGAGTCCTCAGTATTCCGACACACGGAGAGCTCCAACCGAGGCCGCATCCCAACGAGAATCCACCCATGCAGGCTACGCGAAAGAAGGAGGGGAGTTCGTTGACACCGCAAACACACGGGCACCAGGACGCGTTTACGTTACACCTATGGCGATTTGTTCGCCCCGGCGCGTCCCGTAACGACGGCCGTTCTTTAACCCGCGGTGTACTCGAACTGCTCCCCCTCCGCTCCCTGGCCCCTTGTCCGACGTTTTTTTTTTCTCACCGGATGTTCATTATGGCGCTACGGCGGCATTTAATAATTCCGACGTGTTCAGGGCGATGTGCCCTCCGCGTTTTCTCCCAGCCATCCGTCGTCGCCGTCATTGTCGCCGGCGACCGGCTGCGATTGCTCGTAGTCGTTAACCCTCTGGCTCTCTACATCGTGCAGCACCATCGTTTGATGCACCGCGATTTAGCACGCAAACGCAAAAAATGTCATACACGAGTATCATAAAGTTTCGAGGTGTGTTTCGAAGGTTATCCCGACAAATTTACCACCGGCTGCTCCCCCTGAAATCGACTATCTTACGCAAAAGAGGGAACCTGCAGCAGCGGCGCCGTATTGAGGAATCCTCCTACGAAACATCTCAGTGAAGGTCTCGGTGAAGATACTCTGTTCTGTCATTCTTGTTTAGGGTCGATCGAAATAGTTAAACGTTGATTTTCGGTATACCATCAAGAAACAACTGCGCCCTCCTTCGCCTCTCGTTTCGTTAGCGTTATTCATTCTTCTTTCATTCTTTCAGCTGTATTCGTACGTAATAAGAGAAATACATACAATGTATCGTTATTACGAATTTTGTAGCGGCGGTGATTTTGATACGGTGATACAATAACGGGTGAAATAACGTGTAAACGTGCAAATGTTGCATTGTGTTGCTATGAGAAAACAATCCAGGAACTATCGCGCAGCTTTTCATTCAATTCCTCTATGTTCACTTTTAATAATCGAGTCACACACGCGGTCATTCATTATCCCAACGTTGCAGTTGCACAATGGAAAATCGGTTAATCGTAAAACTCTTCCTCCATTCTCTTCATTTTTATCTTCATCGCGCTCCGTGCAAATTCTATTCGAGTGCTATTTCGAAATACGGTCGTTTTATAAGATCGCTGTGAATTACTCCAAATCGGTGTGATAATTTGCGTGATTGCCAAACGATCGTCTGCATGACAAAACTTTCGCTTCCAAGCGACATGAGAGACGCGCGAAGAACAACAATCGAACTCTTCTAATTTTTCACATATTATGTGATATAAATAAAAAAAAAAAGGCTAGACGCGAAACAACAGAATCAACAATTTTGAAAAAATAAAAGGCGAGCGTTTTCCTTCACATCAATTCTACATATGTATAGAACTGTTTTCCTATTTGGATGTTAACTTCAGACATTTAGTGCTCCGCCCTTTGAACTACGTAAATGACCGTCCTCGTGTCCTGCAACTACTAAGACGAGACGCTAATGGCGAAACAACATAACGGACACGCTAATTATAGCGCCAATTATGTTTTCGCGAACTCGCAAGCGAGGGTCAGACGATCCTAAACTATCAAAGGACACGATGGACGAAGCTGGCGCATTTTCGTGCTCCAATAAACTTGCCGGCTCTCTCGCGTACCGTACAGAGAGAGAGAGCGATACGGAGGTAATAGGGATGTAACGTCCCTTCCTTACGCCCGGTTACTTCGGCTAACGACATTCAAATTCCATTAAGGCGCCGCGACGTGCGCTCGACAACTTTTGGATTGCAGATCGACTCCTAAGAGCGAGTGATTCTTCTTCAAACGATCTCTTCTGCGATCAAACGATCGATACGAGCGAGAGTGGGAACAGGATATTTATTCGTTGCGTGACAATCATCTACAACTGTACTCGAAACTGCCCAGATAGATTACGAGGTTTAATGAGAGTCACGAACGTCGTAACGTATCACACAAACACGCAATTCCGATACGTAATGTAATTAAATCCGCGACAGCGTCCATTTACCAGATATTCGATTAACACGTTCAATGCTGTGATCGGTCATCGATAACTGGCACTGCGATATTGGTGATATGCGTTTCCCCGATATGCAATGTATTGCATCAAATTGTATACGCATCACTAGAAAACAGATTAAACAAGATAACGAGTGTGTATTTGCGAGAAGGTAACATTTGCTTATCGCAGTATTTAATGCGTTATCCATAATTAAAGTTTTGTAAATGTAGTTAATATTCGACCTGTTCTTGAAATAATATGAAAGAGATGACCTTGCACGGTCAATAATACTGTGATCAGTGATATTGAATCAGCAGATAATACTGACAGAGTATGCATTAATATGTTTAGTATTTCTACAATGTTGCACGATCAGTAATATTGACAATATATTTCACTTTAGTTTCACGTACAAAATCAATTGCGTTGTGACACACTGTGACATAAATCCTAATAAAACGATACCGATGCTCAAGAATCAAAATCTAGATCATCGTCAGTTTACGTCAATCCATCCAATACCGACAGTATTATTAATTGTGTAGAGTCACCTCAATATGCAATTTCAAATTCTTTCATATTGTTTCGTGTAAATCATATATTGTGTGATTGCGCGGGATACGTCAATGTTATTCTACTAATGATAGAAAAAAACTTTTAAATTGCGTAAATATCGATCTCATGGAATAAAAAATTACTTTCCATACGAAATTCAATTTGTAGCCAATTCAAGGTTACCGTATTATTCTTGTGAACTCTTCAATTACGACGATCATTTACATATGTCTTCGATTAATTAAATTACCGCGCGTCAATAGACATTATATAAGCTTGTACATTGTTACGCGCAGCGATTGTTTGACAAACGATCACGTTGAATGAAGACAGTTGGCAAATATGTTATATAATGCTACAAATTCTCAAATTAGATTGTTATTTCTAGAATTTAATAGCATAACGATGATACTGGGTGGGCAAGAAAGTAATTGCGTTTTTTTTTTTTTTTTTAGCTCAAAGTTGTATATAGAATATCTTCGTCGATAATGAATGAAATTGAAATTTGAAAAAAAGGCTTTTAAAGCTTAAAATCTCTACTTTTAAAAGCTTGCTACATTTTTTAAATTTATATGAGTTTGATCATTTTTACATGCCAAAAACTACGAGCTGAAAAAGACGGAAAATTTTCTTCTCACTTCTTCTGGGTTTGTAACAAAATAATTTTGAGAACATTTCCGACTACCTATCGTGAAAGCTTGATACTTTCCCTACAAAATTGTTTTTTCTTTTTTTTTAAATATTCCTACCATTTTTGGTTACTGAGTTATCGCGGATTAAATAAAAAAATCATTTTGACTTTAATTGCTCATAACTCCGTTAAAAATTGTCGTATCGCAATTAAAAAAAAAAGAGATTCTTAAAGAAACTTTACTCTATTAAGATATATTTATATATTGGTTGGTAAGAAAGTAATTGCGGTTTTTACTGATGGACGCCTTTAAAAAAAAACGCAATTACTTTCTTGCCAGCCCAATATTTTAATGCTTCTACGGTTTCTACTCGTTCAATTTGTATGAAAATTAGATGATGATGCTCAGAATCAAGTCTGATGAAATAATCCTATTCCGGTAAACAATAGCAACGAGCGAAGGAGAATTAGACCTATGTAACCGATAACAATAAAAGAATATTACGTATATATGAATCTTGATCGGCTTGATAGCATCGTACAATGAACGTATCGTAACGCAAGGAAGAAAAAAGCACGATGTCTCCAAATGGAATTCCCCTAACGTGAAACGATAAGAGCCGTCGCAATATGTGCGTCTGGAGAAAAATTCTCTGTTACTTGAGAGCATATTGTTCCCCCGACATATGAAGAATTCACCCAGTTACTACCCGCCGCCCTCGCGAATTTATTTATAATGGAGCGATAGTCGTTCAAAAACTCATGCCGTTACTTTATTTACTGCTTTCCCAGCGTCTAAAGATAGCGAATCTATTTCTCAAAGATCACGCGTTATCGTAAATCGTCACACGCTATCATTCAGATAACTTTACTCAGAATCAAACATTGGAATTATTCTGCAATAATCCTACGTAAGTCACCGCCAGTTATTAATAAGTTTTAATGATATTACAACGGTAAGAAAATAATAAGTCACACGTCGCGATCTAATTGCCATCGAGGTTGGCCTTCGCGACAGTCGCAATTGTTTGCCAATGATTAAAGTTGTTGAAATTGCGACGCATTTCGCGCAGACGATGCAATAATTGTCTTCCGGCATTGCCAAGCTGCTTTTTACCGAACGAACGAACGAACGAACGAACGAACCGGAGAGGATGTCTCTCGAGCCCGCTGTGTTCACCGACACAGCACCACCGGAGAGTCCCGGGTCCTCCTCTCTCGCCGTGAGAAAAGCTCATTTGCATATAAATATAAGTAAAAAGTGCATTTGCATTTAAATGTGCGACCTGGGGCCGTGATACTCCCGCTCTCGCCGACTTCGGCATCGTACTCTCGATCGAAAGTTAACGGCGGATAGACCGCATGATAATGACACACGAGGTTTAATAAAGGCGAGAATGAAAATGGCTCTATCGGTTCCCCGAAACAATTACTTTTCATCCAAGTACACCGATATCATGAAGGAGAACGAATACCGTTTTATTATTCGGACGTTTTCATAAATATTCTCATCCTGTTTATAAGTCCAAACTTAAAGGATCGTATATTTTTTCGTGGGAGAAAAATCCTACTTGTAAAAAAAAAAATCGTAATTGCTGATTGAATAAATTGATAAATAAACAAATAAATAATTTCGATGAATAACATTGCTAGTATAATAATACCATCCGCACACTTATTGAAGCAAAACTGTTCTCATTCGTCCGTCTTCATTATCTATATAACTTTTTTAATTTATTTTACCCACCCACTCAATTGATTTGGTTTATTTCTATTTATTCACGCTCCCTCGTTTAATCTAAATCCTAGTTAAAAATTCAACAACTGCAGTAACGTTTGCGCTCGAAATTTCGAGAGGCGCAAGAAATGACGTATCGCGGCAGGTTGCGAATAGAACTGCAGCACGTGTTGGTGCTAACCGCGAAGTCGGTCGCGGCAAGCGTTCTCGAAAGCGGATTTCCCTGCGAGCTACTACCATCGCGTATCCAGCCATATGAGGAAAGAAGAGAACAGGTCGGTAACCACCGCGATGCTATGCAGTTGCACGAATCGAGAAGCTGTAAGACGAGAAACGTTTAACCGCAAGTTGTGAGATATAAAGTAGCCCGCCGGCGCGAGAGGCGCGATAACGTTTCAATTAGTTGCAAACGCAACTCGATCCGCAGTACTCGGCCACGATACAAAGTACCCAAGTCGTAACCTGGAAGACCTCGACCTCGCTTAAATTGTTACGCTCGACAACTAGTAATTAGTCTGGCAAATTAGCGGCCGGGCGCACTTATTCCGAATCCCCGTCGATAAACGGAAATTTACGGAAGGTATTTGCGCGCGGCGTAAATTCAACGTACGAATAACCTCTGGTGAAAATAGCGTAAAGTATCGGTTACAAATAACTACGCTCACTTTACGGCGAGTAAAAACCCGATACGGAAAATGCCGAGGCACTCAGTCGGAATCGATTATCGCCGCGTTATCTCAAGCTCGAAACTTTAGAAACATGCGTGCTCGATTATCCGCGACACCAACAGTCACGAAAGCCCGCGGCCGAGGATTATAATACAAATATTGTATAATCGTGCGTACGTGTTAATGAGATCTCTA